CTGGGCCCTGATATCGACTTTGCACTTCCCTCATCAGTCGCTGTTGCTGTTGTACGCTGGTTCCAAATCATTCCCGTGCGTCTGCTTCAAATTCAGCGTAGAAGAGGCACTCTTCTTTCATTACCTCATACCAGATACGGGTTGGACCGTCAAGTATCTCTGATACTGATAAGAGCATTTCATCCTCCGTGAGCCCAGCACCGTTCATTAAATTGTCTAGCCTCGACAGAAAGGTGTCCACACTCGCGTTACCCTCTCCGGAAAACTTGAATTTCCATCCCCGGACGATACGACCGACATCCCTTGTAGTCAATCAAGGGTTTGTCGTCTGTTGAAGTGACTACGTGCACTGCGTGTGGTTATACATTTCAGCATTAACCCCATTAAGTTGATGCTGTCCGCCCTGTTCGAAAGGGAGCGTCCGGCGGGGGGTCCTGCCGGTGGCCCCCGTGGACCTCTATCTGGGACCAGCTGGAGTTCTTTTAGGCAGTCGTGTGTCGTAATGATAAACGAAGGTATCTTGAAACGCGACGCTCCTGCGCATGTTTTCTTGTTGCCTTAATTCACTTGAATGGCTAGCATCATCTTGCTGTGCATTCCTATTTTCGGCATTTTCTAATATACTTATTCTGGCGGATAAGTCATCAAGCTGGCTCTTAACATTGCTGCAATTACTATATATCTTGTCTAACACCTTTGTTAGACTTTATACGTTGACTCTTAGCGAGGCGAGTAGTTCGAGCCTTTCATTCTCTCGGGACCCTCGGGACCGGAAAATGAGTACGCGAGTGCCCACTCGGTGCGAGGTTTGGTGCCGAGAGTGCCCCAGAGTTTTGGCGAGCTATTTCCAGCGACTACGCGTGCGAGCCTTCAAAGCCGCCCGCCTTTTGACCGCATTCGAGTTGCGTACTGCGCGTCCTCGCAGACCACGTGCGAGGCCGAGAACGCCGTCTCCAGGGCTGACTCCGAGACGTCATTGTAAGTACCACCTCGAATACATGTTTCTCTCGCTAGCTTTTCGCCGCTCTCTCTCCCGCTTACGCTGCGTATTAACTTTGTACTAACCTCTGTAGTAAACTCAATGTTGCTCGTATAGTTTCTAAAGCGTCCTTTCGGGTAAGAACTCATGGCGAACGTAACGAAAAAAGATTCAAACTGCTTAAGAGCTATAAGCAAACTGAGCCGAAAATATAGTAAAATTACGAAATGCGTCGTTCGGTCTATACTTTACTAATACCTTGACAGCCAAAATATACTATATATTGCACACGGATATACACTTATACACTCAAAACTAGAAGGGCACAAAGCATTTAACATTCCCTGCCTAAGCTAGGACCCGAGCGCAGCGTAAGTCTTTTGTTACGAAGCGCGCACCTAGCTACCTGCTCCTCGCGCGTCGGTGCGCGGTCACTCAAACTGCGCTAGCAAATTAATAACTTGAAATTTCGCTCTGAAATTTTGACACAGTATTCCTAAGACGTTATAAATTCGATTTAAAGAATAAAAAAAAATCGATTTTTCGATCGATCTATATGGGGATACCCCCTTAAGATAGCGTAATTAGTTTTCCAAAAAAAAATTTATTGAAAATGTTATTGTACTTCAAAAACAGCGAAAAACAGCATTTTTTGCACTTTTAGGTTAGGATATTTAAAAAACTTGATGTGATAGAGTAATTCTAAGGTCAGATTTAAATTTAACGATCCAAAATCTACCGGAAGTAACTAGTCTTATCTAATGAGGAAGTCTCACGTCGGGCTGTGTTATTTATTGATGAAAATTTCGAAATTTTAAGTTTTATATCTTGCCAATCCTAGGGAAAAAATCGCAGGAAATTTTTTAATACGGGATATTCTTCCTCTTTCCAAATCCTATGTAAATCACTGATTCAAAAATTATTTACATTAAATATGACTGGCGTTTGAGCATTTTTCTCAAAAATTTACCTTAGTTTCGAAGGAACGTGTAAAACTTCAAAGTTTGAACAAAGTTTGCTCGGAGGGGGGTAAAAGTACGAGAGCGGAAGTATACTTGCACATGCCTTGGGATACCTGTTTCACCACTTAAGACTAGTTCCTGTATTCCCATTCACAGCAGTCGCAGGTATAATTTAGCACCCCCAAAATACCAATGACATATTTGGTTATAGCAATGTTTTTGAATGTAGCAGGTCCGTGCTGCGCGGATTCTTGACTGTAATAATGATTATGTCTAGACAAGGGTGGGCACTGTTACGTATGTCACCATTTACTTAACCCCAAACTACGTGGTCAGGCAATTTGAAATGAATGTGGAAGTGTTCGAGGGCACGTTGAGGGATCTACTGGGGGACCTCATTATTGCAGGTAACCTTAACTCTTAAGAGATTGATTGGAAAGTGGCTTTGACAAATAAAAGTAGAAGGCTGCATTGGAAATAGTTGGAAAGTAGAACTAGTAGTAGCCACCCTTGGACGAACTCGGACTTATGAAAGACCTGGAGTTGGTTATTTAATATCCAATGTAATTTTCTTAACGGACAGACCGTAGAATGCTACGTATTAAAAAATGGTGGGTGATCCAGGAATATGCAGCGAGCAATCATCAATACATTGTCTTTGAAGTGTCAGACCGAATAGAAATAGTACGCATGATACCCACACGACTACCACGGTGGAATATGAGAAGTCTAGAATGGAAATGGGATTCTGCGGCTCCCTTTGAGATCATTTTACCTGACTCAATGAATGGTCAAAGAACCAAACGACTAGTAAATAATACTATTCGATTGGTTATCTGACTATGCGACGCATCGATGTCTCGTAATTGGTGCGGTTTAGATAAGCAGGCGACACATTGATGTACAGATGATATTAGTCAGTTATCGAGAAAATGCATGACGGAGGGTGTACTGTGCGCCCAAGCGGGGTCAATCCAATGCTGATGCCTTCTCGACAGCATATAGAACCAAAAGAAATATTTTGACAAAAGTAATAAAGAACATGAAAAGTGATGTTGGAGGCAGTAATGTGACAAGGTGGATCGCGATTCCTGGGCTCTGAGGTATAAACTAATCACCCGCCTAGAAGATGCTGTAAAACGAAAATAACTGGATTTTGGGAGCTACTTTCAATAAGACTGTTATTAGGGGGGTGGGGAAGGAGACGGAGGGTATTTGATAAATTGAATGTATGCACGAGAGAATGTAAAAGAACAGCGGATGTACGATGGTGGTCCGATAAGTATTTAGCCTACAAAAGAAAAACGAAAATTTTGGAAAAATGGCGTTTTATTTTTCAACATAGTCTCCTTTTAGTTCGATACACTTGGCCCAGCGATGCTCCAACTTTTTTGACCCGTCTGAAAAGTACGTTTCCTCGAGGTCTGAAAAGTAGGCTTCCGTGGCAGCACCTCCTCATTCGACTCAAATTTCTGGCCGGCGAGTGACTTTTTCAAGTTTGGAAACAAAAAGAAGTCGCACAGAGCTAAATCTGGAGAATACGATGGATGGGGCAGCAGTTCGTAGCCTAATTCGACCAATTTGGCCATGGCGACGGCGGAGGTGTGAGCCGGGGCATTGTCATGGTGGAAGAGCACTTTTTTCTTCGCCAAATGGGGCCGTTTTTTCTGCAATTCGACGTCGAATCGGCCCAATAATTCGGCATAGTACAGCCCTGTGACTGTTTTGCCCCTCTCCAGATAGTCGATGTAGATCACACCTTGTGAATCCCAGAAAACGGTGGCCATCACCTTTCCAGCCGATGGGGCAGTCTTCGCCTTCTTCGGAGCACTTTCGCCGGGTAAAGTCCACTGTTTCGACTGTTCCTTGGTCTCTGGTGTATACCAGTGGATCCATGTTTCGTCGACTGTCACGAAACAACGCAGAAACTTCTTCGGATTGCGCTTAAACAGCGTCAGATATTGCTCTGAAATTGTCTCACGGTTGCGCTTGTTGTCCGGAGTGAGCAAACGTGGCACCCATCGCGCCGACAGCTTTCTCATGCCCAAAATTTCATGCAGGACATGACCCACGCGGTCTTTTGAGATGCCTACGATCTTAGCTATCTCGCGCACTTTCAATCGTCGATCTGCCAGTACGAGATCGTGAATTTTTGTCACGTTATCCTCCGTGGTAGCCGTTTTCGGAGCACCTGGACGTGGCTCTTCAAAAATCGATGTGCGACCACGTTGAAACTCGTTAAACCAATTTTTTATAGTCGCCATCGAAGGAGAAGAGTCACCGTACACAGAATCCAAGCGCTTTTTGATTTCGCTGCGCGATTTCCCTTCCAAAAACAAGAATCGAATCACCGACCGATACTGCTCTTTTTCCATTTTTCAAAAATCAACGGACATACTTGCTTTCACACGCTCTCAAAAATAAACTACAACTCCGATCCGGCTAAAATCTTGACAGTAACCATCGAGAAGGTTGTACTACGTGATAGAATATTTCTTTTGCGAGAGTGGCGCCATCGGGCGGTGAGGCTAAGTAATTATCGGACCACCCTCGCATAGACAGGCGGATGCTAACGGAATTCCATGTTAGAGGAAAGTCAATGGTGGATGTTACAGTTTGGTAGATATAGGTTTAATCGGCAGGTTTTTTTTACGATGTTTCAACTGTGATATACCACGTTTTAATCTGATGAGAGAAGTCAGATACAGTGTTCATGAGGATTTACCTAATTTTTTACCACCTTAAAATAATAATATAATAATAATAATTGCCAAATATTGTAATTTAATTAAAAATTTGTTTTTTCTTCATACACCAGAATAAACTTTTAAAATAATCATCAAATAATTGCCATTGAAACGACGAAATTTGCAATTTAACGATATATCTAAATTTTTGTATAAGAGCTATGTATCTATCATACACTAGTGATTTAGGTTACAGATAATAAGAAAATATATTTCTATGTGAGTTATTTTTCAGGTTGATAACTCAATAACATTACCAAATCATTACTTTTAATATTTAACCATCAAAGTATTATTCTTAATATTTTGCAGAATGGCGGGGCAAAAGATGGCTTTGATATGAATTTGGGACCAGCCTGGCAGAAAGGTTATACTGGAAAAGGGGTAGTGGTATCAATCTTGGATGATGGTATCCAAACAAATCATCCAGATCTACTATTGAATTACGACCACGAAGCAAGTACTGACATAAACGATAATGACGATGATCCTATGCCACGAGATAACGGAGACAATAAGCACGGGACCAGATGTGCTGGTGAGGTAGCCGCGGTTGCTTTTAATCGCTTTTGTGGGGTTGGCGTAGCTTACAACGCTAGTATTGGAGGTAAGCTTATTAATAGTATATAAAACTATCTTACTCTTTCAGATTTTGGACGTTTGATTGCATGTTTTTTCACCATGTTTTAAAAAGTTAATAAGCCAAGTATGTCGTGAGTCCCATGAGTTTACTAGCTCTTTCTGTAAAATAAGAAAGGCTGTTGGTTTAAAGCTTTTAATCTACATATAAAAAGCAAGCAAATTTTAACGGCTTCAAATTTGAAAAGGATCTATAATATTCCGATGCTGTTCTTTGTGTTGCAAACCATAAAAAGATACGTTTTGATATTTGTTACCACTTCTATACCCCACGGATTTGTCGCGGGATAAATAAGTCATAATGAGTGTAATTATTTTTCTTTCGCAACATACACAATAATATCTGTAGGCTATTTATACGTACATGTCCATATGATTCTTCCAAATGAGGTGACATTAATGCAACGTAAACTTCATTCATGGTACCTAGCCAACGGAAAAACGAGAATAAACAGGAAAAGATCAGGAATTTTTTCTTGGCGCTTTTTTGTAAAAAATTATTCTATGAATGTCAAAGATTAAAAGAATATATGGGACGATCCATGTCAACCGGATCACTGCTGTGTCCAAAATTTGATGTGACCAAAAAAATCGTGCAACGAGTCATTTTAAAGCTTAGGATATCTACTTTCTGATGCTGTGTGCGTCTTTACAAAATCCAACATGGCGGCTCCAATATGGCGGCTACAAGAGACAAACTCGTAAACAAAAAATTTTATTTTTCAAATTTTTAGTAATAAATGTTAAAAAAATTAATATTTCATATTTTTTTATGAAAATTTGGCTCATTTCCTACAAAAAAGTAACAGAGATCATTTTCGCTAAAATGAAAAATAAAAAAGTTATAATTTTTTGAAAATTTTCAAAAATAAAAAAATTTGCGATTTTTTTACTCAGAAGGAAATGACTTTGGATAAAAAATTTAAGGAACAAAATTGCTTGAAATTCATCAAAACACAAGTGTGAATTTTTTCGAATTCTTTTGAGCGATTTTTTGCTTTTTGGATTTATCGGATTGTTTGAAAAATTAAAAAACTTCCCAAGATCTTTTACAAAAATTCATAAAATCGCTCAAAGGAATTCGAAAAAATTCACACTTGTATTTTGATGAATTTCAAGCAATTTTGTTCCTTAAATTTTTTTTCTAAAGTCATTTTCTTCTGAGTAAAAAAATCGCAAAGTTTTTTATTTTTGAAAATTTTCAAAAAATTGTATCTTTTTTATTTGTCATTTTAGCGAAAATGGTCTCTGTTACTTTTTTGTAGGGAATGAGCCAGATTTTCATAAAAAAATATGAAATATTAATTTTTTTAACATTTATTACTAAAAATTTGAAAAATAAAATTTTTTATTTACGAGTTTGTCTCTTGTAGCCGCCATATTGGAGCCGCCATGTGGGATTTTGCAAAGGCGCACACAGCATCAGAAAGTAGATATCCTAAGCTTTAAAATGAGTCGTTGCACGATTTTTTTGGTCACATCAAATTTTGGACACAGCAGTGATCCGGTTGACATGGATCGTCCCATATATAATAAAGATGCGAAACATAACTCCGTGTAAGAGGGCTACGGCTCTCATATTTCAAAGCAAAACATGCTGTGCTGAGCTACGTAGCATTTGCAAGTTTCAACCAGTAAATAAGGTAGAGCATCACTCATATTATAGACTGATATTGATGACTTAAAGTCGCATTACAAAAGTTGCTTTCAATTAGTAAGTTTCGCAGTATTATTCTTCATGCAGAAGTGAAACAACATGAAAAAACTGTTCTATGATTTAATGCCAATTTAATTGAGGGAAGTTCCATATCAATTTCAATGCTCAGCCAAGACCATTCAATATAAATCTGTAGTAAAAAATTCTGTAAAAAATCTGTAGTATTTATTTATTATTACCAAAAAGAGTGCTCTTTACTACCTTTGTCATCTTTGAGTCTTTAGATGGGATGTTTTGACTTCGTTCGAAATTTTTCTTCGGGCTTACCGCGGTTTATTAAAAGGTTCACCGTAAGATAATAAATTCAATATAAAATCTCACTTTTATCGCTACGTGTAATATCGAATAAATTTCCAAAACTATTTAACTTTCAAAGTATAATAATTTTTCCCAATAAATAACAACGCACAATATGATCGAAATTAAAATCAGTAATTTTGAATTATCAACGTGCGTTTCATTCTTCCTATGCAGCGACTGATGCTTTTACGTCTGTTCATCTGCCTCAAGCTTTCCGGTGCGATTTTTTAATAACAGCGTTTTGACTTTAGTGTTTCTTGACACCAGATTTATCATATTTGACTATCCTAATGTTATTAATAAACCATTGTATATTTTGTTTATTTAATTTGATATGTGTTGAATATTTATAAATTATTTTTACCGCAACATAATGGTGCTGAAAAATTTCTGCCAAACCATAATTTTGTTTGAAAAAATATTTTAATGTTTTTATTATGCGATAAAAGTGATTAAATGAGATATATTTTCCATCACTAGATACATTCTATGCTTGAAGATTTTTAATTAAAATTTTGCGCTTCCTTTTTCTATATATTGCATAAGTTTTTGTTTATTTTAATTTATTTTGTGTTAAATTCCTCTTTCTAGATAGAATTATGCCTAATGCTAGTAGAAATATTATTTACTCCAAAGATTATGGAGTTTAGTTGGGTCGAACCGAGCAAAAAAAGGCAAAAACTAGGCTTATTGTAAATGGTGTAGCAAGGACATAAACATACAGCCCATGGGTCGACAAGTCCTTCGTTATAGTTAAGGGAAAAAGTATGAATAAAAGTAAATCCTCCATACCCAAACTATTCCATTAACGTCATTTATTTATAAAATAAGTAATTTTATGAAGTACTAGCATCCCTGAATCTCTTTCAGATGGTGATACATTGCCAGAGGAATAAGAGGAAAAGCCTTAAAATAATTTTACTAATGCAGTTGAACTGAATAAGCTTATTTCCGAAGGAAAGTCAAAAACTATACACATATTTGTAAAAAATGTAATATAGTGTTTACTTTTACTGATGAGACACTTCAGTTATCGTGCCGTTACTGAGTTTGTTGAGTGTTTTCTTATTGTAACGGTCCTATCTATGAACTCCTAAACTATTTTCTCATTTTTAACGTACTACAGCAACCCATTAAACTCGCAAATCTACACCTATCAATTAGTATATTAAACGATGCTACCTCACGTATTATATGATTGCATTAGAGCAAGAGTTAAACTTCATGACCATATAAGGAGCGTTACATCATTCTACTTATAAATATAGATATGCCAATTTTTTATTGTTCAATTAAAATGCGTTATTAAGAGTAATTTCAATGAATCAAAGTATTTTTTATATAGATTTTAGGACATAAATTAAGATTATCATATTTTCAAATACTTTTAACTATTGAATATTATTGAATTTTTATGTACAAAATTAATTTATTTATAACTTTACACATATTAATTATTATAATAAAGCCAATACTCTGACCTTGAGATAATAATCTAAGGAATAAACAAAGTTAGATCAAATACATTATATACCCAAGCAATGGTTAATCAATACGAATAGAGTACGACAGAAGAATCAAAGCAAACAAACAACCAACCAGGAATAAGTAAACACTTAAAAAAAGCAAGTCCAAATAAACTCGAACACATAATGGAAAACTTAACGCAAAGAATGGACATCGTGCTGACTCTCCTAACAACATTAGTGAGCAAAATAACTGCATTTCTAATCCACAAAAATATTGACAAAATATTAGTAACAGAAACACATTTTACTAGCAAAACATTTCTTCACATTCCTAATTACACAATACACAAAACAAATAATCCGCTAGATAAAGGAGGTGCTGCTATTATTATCAAAACAAAAATAAATCATTACATTTACAAATACATTAGTGAAACTCTTCTGCAAGTAACTAGCGTAATAATAAACGACAACAAAGATCCGATTACAGTGTCAACTGTTTACCATCCTCCAATCAAAACAATAATCAAATAAAATTCGATTTTAACAGACTTAAATAAGATACCAGATCTGGTAGACTTTGTACTTGTAAAAGGTATAAATAAAAAAAACTCTTCGAAATATAAACATGTTTGGACTTAACTTCAGACCACTTCTCAGCACTAATAACTCTACAAACTCAAGTGATTACGACAGTTAGTAGCTACACGAAAACTGACTAGATAGAATATTCTTCTTTAATTGATGAAAGTGTTACATATAAAATACGAATACCTCTCAAGTCAGATACTGAATTAGAAATGATATTAAAACTTTAAATTTACTCTTAAATAAAGCTCTAGATAAAAGCTCTACAATTGTAAATATTAAAAAATTTCAACAATTCACGTCGCATAAAATTGCTGAAAAAATAAAAAAAAAGATTACTGAGTAAAAAATATCATAGAACTAAATCAAATCAAGACAAAAAATTCTAAATAGAGTAGTTAAAGAACTTAAGAAACTGCTGTATCAGGAAAAAAACTTTCAATTACAAAAGAAGTTTAGAGAACTGAGTTCAACAGAAGCAACGGATTACTCATTATGAGAATCCGACAAGAGACTTAAGCAACCAACATCAATTTATTCCACCTATCAGAAAATCATGTGGCAGGTGGACTAAATCTGATGAAAAAATTGATAATTTCGCCAACCATTAATATATATAGTATATATATACAGGGTGTTCCAGACCACCCGTACACCCCCTCTAGAATCCAAAATAATAGATTAATCAAAAACTGCTTCAGACAAAAGTTGCTGGGCTTCGAAGGGGGACATATCCGTACGACCTTGGCTTTGACCTTGGAGGTCATGTTCAAGGTCATTTCAAGGTCAACTTTGTTTTTTTAAATAGGAACCCCCATTTTTGACCCCGGATTCGGAAAGAGCGGGAAATTTTACGTCCAAAACGGTATTTTTAAATTTTTTTTCATGGCCTTC